CACATTCTCCAGCCGGCCACCGAGGGCAGACAGTTAGTACAGATCCCCATATTCTTCCTGGTTGCTAATCGTAAGAGACATAATAGGGGCCGGGAGCCACAAAAGGAGACTGCAGGTTGGGTCGGGCGTTTTCAAGTTCACTGCTGATTCTAATACAGGTAGTCCTCCACTTAACGACCACAGCTGAGACCAAAATTTCTTTCGCTAAGTGAGACGCTTGTTAAGTGAGTTTTGCCCCCATTTTACGACCTTCTTGGCTAGAGTTGTTAAGTGAATTGCTGCAGTTGCAGAAGGTCGCAAAAGTGTGCCGGGACGCTGCAACCGTCATAAATATGAACCGATAGCCAAGCGTCCAAATTTTGATCGTGTGACCATGGATGGGGCTATGCTGCAGCGGTTGTAAGTGTGGGGGGAAAGTCATAAAGTCACTTTTTTCAGTGACGTCGTAACTTCAGTCATTAAATGAACTGTAAATGGAGGACTTTCTGTAGAAGAAGAGCAGGCAGAGCTGGCGGGCGGAGTGAAGCGTGTCACCAGCTTAGGGTCCCTGCGTTCCCAGAAGCCTCCAAGCCCAGCCCCTCCTACAGTCCATTGATTCTTATCTGGCGCCACTGTAATGTTAACCAAACAGGCTCGAATAATCACCTATAATGCAACCTAACAAATCCTGATTCTTTGCCTCTGACACTGGGTGGCCTGCGCAAAGTTATTTTTCACCTCAAATGAAGAAGCACCAGGGAAAACAGGAAGCGGGGAGACCACAACCCCGAACTAGGGCTTGTGAAAGAGAAACTGAAGAGGCAAGACAGTCTTGTCTCCTTCCCCCTGCGGCCAGCGTGCTCTGATTTCCCACTGAGTGGAAAATTAAAAATAAAACGAACAAGGGGAGAGGGGACAAATGTTTTCATACTGTAGCTGATTCATCTGTTTTTTGTTTTTGTTTTTAATTATTATTTTATTTTGCACCCAGGCGCTTAAAACTGGCCCAGTTTGATTACGGGGAAAAATGCTCGGAAATTGCCAAGCTGACGGAAGGCATGTCTGGGCGGGAGATCTCGCAGCTCGCGGTGGCTTGGCAGGTAAGGCTCAGAAGACCCTGTTTGGATGACCTATCCCATCATCCTGAGCCTAGCGATGAGAGTTTTGTGGGACGGAAAGGAACCACAACATCTTTGCAGTCTCGCTAAGATCCAGCAAGATGTTTCTTTTCCTTGACCGTGGAAAATGTTTGCAGAGGGTTGTTTAGATTCCAGTCTCCAGAACCTTTATCATTCTGGCAGCCAGTTGCCAGGCATCCAAATGTAAATCACGTGACCCTGGGGATGCTGCAACGGTCGTAAGTGTAAAAAATAGCCATAAGTGACTTCTTTTTCAGTGCCGTTGCAACTTCGATCAGTCACTAGATGAACTGTTGCAAATTGAAGATTACCTGTAACTTCAAACTAGGATTCATCATCTCTCTTCACTTCCCCAGGCTGCAGCCTATGCCTCAGAGGATGGTGTCCTGACAGAAGCCATGATTGATACCCGAGTAGCAGACGCGGTTCAGCAGCACAGACAGAAGATGGAGTGGCTAAAAGCCGAAGGCATGGAGGCAGGCAAGAACCAACCGCTGCCACTTACGCTGGGGAAGGATGCATGAAGAGCCTCCAAAAGGGGGCTGAGAGAGATCCCAGACTTTTGGGTGGGATTCATTGATGAGGGGAAGGCCTTGTGCCGCTGGAATCATGCCGAGGAGAGAATCGAAAGCCCCGCTTCTTGAAGGAGGCCGGGGTTCTGAGTTCAGGAACCATTTCCTTGATTTTTTTTTTTTTTGAAAAGCGGACTCCTGGAATAATTATGAGCAAATGGGTCTGTATCACACAAAACAATATATTAAAAGAGAATTCCTTTGCCAAAGGTTAACAGCCTTCACATTTTGCATCCGGGTTTCATTGGTTTGGAGATGCTGGTTATGTCCTAGTTTTAGAAAATCTTCATTCAATAGAGGCCCCAGCAGTGAAGGCCTCTTCCCTGGCACTGTGTGAAATCAGAATTACCCAGGGTAGATATATCTGCTACCATGAGATCTAGGTGCTTTAAAAAAAAAAAAAAAGGCAGACCCAGCAATTAAAAAATTAAAAGCCAAGTGAAATAATGGGTAGGTAAGCCATTGGTTAGCATCTTGTCGAAATTGTTACGTGCTCGTGCCAGTTACGTCTTTTAAGCTGCCCAAGACTCACTTGGCAGTGGTATGGGCAGCGTATTAATTTCCTAAATAAATGAAACATATTGCCACCTGCCAGAGGGTTCTAGGAAAGGTTAAGTTGGGAGAGATGCCTTAAAAGCAAAAGGATTTTCCTTTTGCTGGGTTTTCAAGAGTTTCAAGAGCCATGGTGGTGACAACCAGCAGGCTACTTCTGCTGGTTGCCGGCTATCAGCAGTTCGGCAGTTTGAATCTCACCGGCTCCAGGTTAACTCAGCCTTCCATCCTTCCAAGGTCGGTAAATGAGGACCCAGATGGTTGGGGGCCATAGGCTGACTCTTAAAACGCTTAGAGAGGGCTGTAAAGCACTGTTAAGTGGCATATAAAGTCTAAGTGCTATTGCTATTTCTAGTAAAAAGAAAAAAGAAAAGAAAGCAGGTTTAATGCAACCTATTTGGCTCTTAATTTTATGTGCAGAACAAAAAAAATCAGCTGTTAACAGATGGGCATTCCCTCCATTTGGAAACAACCCCCCCCCCCAGCCTCCCTGGGGCTGTGTGATAGCCACTGTTCTCATCTTCCATTTTCTTGTGGGCCCAATCTGCAACGGAGGGAGAACTTGCTTTGCTCAGCAGTCTGATCTCTTGCAGTTCTCAAAACTAGGGCATCGGCTAACGGCAGCCAACCTCTACTTTAGGAAAGAAGAGCTAGATTTTTTAAAAGCAAAAGGAACCGTCTCCAAACACCGCTGGGGACCATTTTGTTTCTAACCCACTTGGACAAAGAAAAGAACAAATCAAATAAATATATGAAAAGGGGGGGAGGAATAGCATCCTGTCCTCCATGCTCATTAAAATGCCACTACTGCTATCAACCAAGCAAACCCCAAGGACTTAATTAAACAGAGTTCAATTTTCTCCAGTTAATTCATTTGACCCATCCGGTCCTCCAAGAAAAAGAGTTGGGGATCCAGAGAGGCAGAAAAAAGCCTCTGTTCTACAACTCGATGCCTTAGAGTGCCAAGCATCTCTCCCAAACACCGATTGGCTGCACCGGGGCCTAGCCACGCCTACGTCTGCCTGCCAGGCCAATGAGAAGCAAGTAGTGACTTTTGCCAAGATGGCGGCAAAACAAACAGCTCTGGAAAGAAATTTCCCTCACGTTCAACCCTTACCATCCAAAAACATGACGTCCTGAGGCAAAAAAAAACCCCAGAAAAGCCCAAACTAGTCAAAGTAGAGAGACTGAGAACCATAGAAAGCAAGAAGAAGAAAAAAGATGAGGGTTGACTGCTGTCTCCGCACCACAGAGAGAGACACAAAACGTGAGTAACACAACAATGGTTCCACACCCCAAAAATTCAACAAAAGCAAAAGCCATGGGGAAAAAAAGACAGGTCTCGTTCCTGAACTTCCTGACCCCCCCAGCCCAAGTCACTTTCCAGAGTAGGAAAGGAGCAGAAATGGAGTCCCCTGGAATTGGGCAGCCAATAAGTTCAAATAAATAGAAGAACACGCAGTCCTCGACTTACACAACAGTCCATTTAGTGACTGTTCGAAGACTGCACTGAAAAAGGGGGCTTGTCGCCGTTTTTCACACAACCGTTGCAGCATCCCCAGGGTCACGTGATCCAAAATCCAGACCCTTGTCAACTGACTCATACTTACGACGGTTGCCGTGTCCCGGGGATCATATGATCTCTCTTGTGTCACCTGACAAGGGAAGTCAATGGGGGGGGGAAGCCGGATTCACTTAACAACCGTGTTACTAACTGAACAATTGCAGCGAAGGTAAAACGGGGCATTTTAACACCTTCTTAACAAATGTCTCACTTAGCAACAGAAACGCTGGGCTCAGTTAATGATTGTAAGTCGAACGAATCTGCCTCCCTCCTGCGCCCTCCACCATTCCACCCTGCTACCTTTCTAGGAGGTTTGCCTTTTGTCTGCAGCAACTTTTTTTTTTTACTGTCACAGTGACAAACGTTATAAATCTGGAATGAATGTATGCTTGCTGCATAGCATGGCATCCTAATGGGCCATACATTGAGACTTGGCCACACTGGCTGTGGCTGATAGGAGGTATAGTCTTACATGCCCAGAGGGCCTCAGATTGGCAAATGGTGCAGTGACTGATTCCAAGAATAAAAAGAGCAGAGCAGGACTTATCTTTACAAAAATCACATTGAGGCCTGTCTGTCCCAGCTCTCCACCCTTTCCCATGTAAAAAAAAAATGGTATATCTTGATCATACTCAGCTGATATCGTGGCTGAAAGAACACAATGCTGGTTTCTTTTCCAGTCCTCTAATAAGAAGGCTTATTTCCATAAAACCTGCAGTTGCAAAGTTATCTCTTCCATTGGTTCCCTAACTAGCAATTTAAACTTAACCGATTTAATTAGTTCTACGGCTTGTCATCTTTACTCCACTCTTTAACCAACCAGTTCAAATAATATCTATACCAAGTAGAAGAGCAGATAAAAGAAAGATGGATATTGTCTCAAGCTTCTCTTGGTTTAAAACATTCGTTCTACACCAGCTGGCTTTTCCTCCCTTTCTCCCTCCCTACTTTTTTCATTTTGTGACATGTCTTTTAGACTAAAATTAAAAGCAGAGTATCGGCCATTTTTTAAAGGCTTCTTAGAAGACGTTATCTTTCTCTAGTTTGCCTAAATCAAATGGGATGGATGGAGAATTATTTTAAAAAGCTAAGAACCAAGAATTTTCTTTTTAACATTTTCTGATACAGTATATGAGCATTGTTGCCAACCTACCCTTACACCCCACCTCAAAAAAATCTAATTAATGAACTTCATGGTTTAAATATCTCATGGGAAACATTTGAATGACAAAAGTATACAAAGCACAATTGTGGAACATTCAAGCATTTCCAAAAATGTGTGTTTAAACATGCCCCCCCTCTCTCACACACACACAATTGTTGACAAATATTAGCAAATTAAACATACAATTAGCGAGGTTACCAGTAAATTTCTCATCTTTCATTTTGGGTTCTTGGTGAAGTTGTTATTTTTCCTTTTAATCACACGGACATTGCAATCAAACAATAGAATAATCACAGACATTTTCAGTATTTTCCTACGGAGGGGTCTATCCCAATTTTTTTTTTTAATTCTCTGGGTAAAACAAATTGGGAATGCTCTTTTTCAAACCTAAAATCTGCTAATGAAAAAAAAAAAGTAATAAAAACTAATTTGACATGCACTAGTGTTGGTCAGTCGCCTCTCTGTTCCAAAGAAAATGTGTCTAGATTTAGGCCACTGAATTCAATAGGCTTTGACCACAAGCTGGGTTCATGCGAAGCCCTAAGCCATGGTGAGTGGAATAAAGTTTTATTGATTAAACCGTAACTGGCTGGGTTTGTACCACACAGTCATCCAGCCAACCAGAACCACAGGTTAACTCAACATGACTTAACAAGGCAGGGCTTCCGTTTCTTTAGAAAAGATCTTGCAGATCATAGTCAGAAAAGTTGGCAACCTGGTGCCCTGTTTGATCTTCTGATCTGCCCTGATACGTAACCATTGAGCATGCTATCTGGTGATTGAACCAAGTCACGGAGGACTCCAGATTGTGTATCTTCCCCCTCCTGAATTCCTCATGTACAGAATACTAGTCTCCAAGAACAATGCAGCATGGAAGTCCTAAACTAAAACTTGCTTCCCCCTCCCCCAACTAGGATCTGCTTCATCCTCCTGTCCCCCCCAGGCCTGATTGCTAGGACAAACTCAGCTCGGTCTTCTTGAACCCCACCATGCTGGGCTCTCTTTCAGAACTGTTCCCCACAAATCCCCCCAATTAGCACGATGACATCATACCTGATACAACTACGTTTAGCACAGGTTTCTGTACGCCCTAATTCATGCATGCAAATCCACTGTATTAGTAGTAATAGGAAGAAGAGTTATAAGCCACCTAACGTTGATGTTCAGATGGGCAGGGTAGACTTGTAGACAAATGTTGGGCAACATCTGGCTTTGTAACAAGGAAATAAAAAGAAAGGGTTCTCCAACATCAGCTTAAAAAGGTGGGGAGGGGGTTAAAAAGGTGCTTTGAGTTGCAGAACAGACAGGTTTAACAGACATGGTGGGCATGGTTTCTACCTGCCTCTTAACTCTTCCCAGGTGTCCTCCTTTCCTACATGGAGGAACATCTTAACAGAAATCTGCCTCTTAAAAAGCCAGCATGTTCTGCGTCTGGATCATAAGAAATGTGCATTTTAACCATCGTTACAATAATGATTTCAGCCAGTGTGGGCTTTGATGCACAGTGGGACAGAAGAGATTGTTCGTCTTGGGGATGACAATGTGAAGATTATCGTTCTGGATCATACTAAGCTCTAGTTGGCGTAGCCGTGATGTATTGAATAAACCACAATTGAGGGTTGCATTTGTGCTGACCTGCATGGCTGACAAACCCCAGCAGCTCGACCCGCTCAACATCCTAGCCTCCTGCTGAAGCGCAGCATGTGGATCCACTTGGTGGAACCCTGGAACTGGGTTGATTCCCAGTTCAAATGCCCTTTTGACTCTTAAGTATCCCTGGCCTTCCCTGCGCGACTCCCTTCACTGAAGCCGCTGCCCAGTTCAGTTTCTGAGGTAGATGGTCTTGTAAATGCAACAGGGTTGAGGCGCCAAGAAGGCAATTGCCATTATTCAGATGGATCCAGGTGTAGGATAGACCAATTGAGAGCTCTCCAGATACTTTGGGATCATAACCTCCCTCCTGCCTCATCACGGGCAATGCTTACCAAGGCTGATGGGATATGGAACGTGAGGCGATCTTGAAGATCTCACGATGCCCATTGCACAGAAGAACCTATGAACATGGAATGCAAGGAAGGGACCATACCTGGGAAGAAGTATGCTTTGCCTGCTAAAACCAACTTGGCCTTCTCCAATTTCTTTAAAAGGGTGACCTCTCTACAACTGAAACAATTATATCAAGCATCATCAACACAGCACCAAACTAAACAGTCTTAAGTTTCTGTCTTGCCAAGAGACACCTGGATGAAACATTCACAGGATCAATTGATAGACCAAAGGGACCTTAAATATGCATATTTTCACTCATATGACCTGCTCAACCAAATTTCTCAGGGTAGACCTTTTGGGTTGGTGTTTCCTGGAAGACAGTTCACTCCAGCCCACAGATGACAACATTTAGCCTGGTGGTTGCAGATTTTGCATGTCAGAATGTTTCTTTGGGCAAGTTGGAGGAAAGATCTCCCTAGGTTCTGATTCGGAAAGAAAGCAAAGCAGAGGTGGAGGCTGGAGAAAGCCAAACTATTTCTCAACTCATAAATAACAGAAGTGGGTCCTTAAAGGATGACGCATTGTACCTACCGGGTCATCTAAAATCCAAACCAAATCTAGATTAGAAATGAGATCTTGGAGCACAGCAAAGAACCTAAATAGGGATGGGAGGGTCAGATACAATTGGAAACAGATTCAGAAGTACTTGAAGGCTAGACAGGGCAACATCTGGCCAAATTCATCTACAAAGACCTTGGACGACGACAAACAAAACTTCCAAATCAACAAGGAAAACCAACGGGGAGAAAAAGATACTGCCGTTGCTATCAACACCAAAAGAAGCGAGGGCTTAAAAGTGAAATGCAAATTTTTCTCGCGCGCTCTTTCTGTGCTGGGTTGTTTGTCTCGTTTCGTCATATGTACAGGTCCACCAGTCAAATGGTAACCACAGTGCAATGTCTCATAAGCCTTGGATCCAGGACAGGGGGGAAATTGTGCATTCTCTGGGCGCAGAGAATTCTGCAGACACACTGTTGGTGGAACTAAGAGGGTGTCTTTACGTGGCGTCCACCAGGGAGTAAGCAGCTGGACATCTCCCCTTGGTAGACAGCAAAAGGCATGTTCAATAGACCACTGATCAGTCCCGAGTTTCCTTAAAGGTGTCTTGGGCTGGGGTGCCCATTATGATACAATTTCTGTTTGATGTGCACCATGTTTCCCGCGGCTTCGTCATATTGGCTGTGATGGCGTTTCCGGAACTCCTTGAAGTTACAAAATTTGGGAAACCAAGACCATGAATTGTCTGGGAAAGGAGAGAGAGACAAAAATGTGATTCAGCATGATGGGAACAAGAGATTCCCCCTTTCACCCAACAGGACTTCCAACAGAGGTGGGCAAACCCATTTGATGATTTGGGGCCACGGTTCTCTTTTGAGAAAAGTCTGGCCGCTCCAAATGATGTTGAAGAAGCCACAAAACATCAAAAGAAAGTTTCCGGTTGGGATTTCCTAATAGCTGGTGTCGCAAAGCATCCAGTTTTTAGAAGAATTATCTATCATTAACAAAGAAACATTCTATTTTTTTTTTATGAATTTACCTAATCTCATTTTACAATCTTCCGACTGATGAGACAACACCATAGACAGTGTCCCCACTAGGCTAAGTTAGTGTCCTTTACATGTTATTGAACTATGATTCGAAATATCCCTGGCTGAATGCCACGAGAAGCCAGGGTTCCTTACTCCTAGCTTATAGTACCCCATCCTTTAAATCTAAAAGTACAGTACTTCTAAATTTCCGTACAGTTTGTCCTCAACTTACGATTGCAATGGGAACCAGAATTTCCCTTTGCTAAGCAAAGGGGTTGATTAAGTAAGTCGTGCCCCATTTTACGACCTTTTTGGCCCCGGTTATTAAGCATATCAGTGTGTTGTTAAGTGAATCATGCAGTTGTTAACTGAATCTGGCTTGCCCCACTGACCCGACTTCTCAAAAGTCGTCGGGAAGGTTGCAAATAGCGAGATCTCGTGAATCTGGGGTGCTGCAACTGTTGTAAATAAACATTGGTTGCCATGCGCCCAAATTTTGATCAGGTGATTCAAAGGATGCTGCCACGATTGTAAATAGAAGGACTGCTTGTAGGCCCTCTTTTTTCAGTGCTGTTGTAACTCTGAATGGTTCTTAAATGAATGACTGTAGTTGAAGGACTACCTGCAATGGCTTTCTGTCTTCCAAAATATCTGGGCATTGACAATTATTCCCACAATTGTTTCCTTCCATACAAAATGTTCCAGTTTTATAACGTTGGCACACTTAAACCTCCTACATGTGAACTAGACACAAAGGTAGCTTCAGTCAACCAAACAAGAACGGCAGTGGAATTAGGAATACTTCTAGGCCAGAAGCAATTGGGAAAAAAAAAACCCTCTAAAACACATATTAACAGTATAGCGAGTTTTCCTCTTTCAAATGAGGCATCTACATATAGGCAATTTTGGGCTGCAAAGTTGTTGTCTGTTTTTAATGCAGCACAACAGGAGGGGGGTGACTGCCTCAGTTCCCTGTTTGAATATTGGGGTAAGAAAAACTCTCCAACAGTATAAAAAATAATAATAATGGAAAGTTCATTTAGCTGCTGGATGTGAAAGTCCAGCTAGCCAACTGTTTGGCTGTTCTACTCCCAAAATAGGATTCTTCAAAAACTATCCAATGCAGTTTGTATTCAAGACAAAATAAACCAAATGTCAATAAATTTAAAGGATTGTTGGTTAGCTAAACTAGTGTCTAACTTTAGCAGGGTTTTTCCAGGCCAATCTTTTATTGGTTGAGTTTTAGTTTCTATTTGTATCAGTTATGCTGATAAATGTTGCTTTTATATACCTTGTTATTTTATCTGTATAGCCCACCCAGACTTTTTAAGGAAAGAGGTGGCATGTACATTCCCTAAATAAAATAAATCTGGCTCTTTTGCCTCCCACATTATGACCCATTGTTCCAAAAACATATACAGCTGTCTTCTAAAACAAGAAACTATTTTCTAGAGAAAAGAGCCCGGTAAATTCCATAAATTAATTCCATTCATCTTGGAGAAGCAGATTGCAGGAAAAAATTCCATTGTTTGCTCAGTCTAGAATTTACTATCTGTATATTTTATTAGGTCCATAGGATTAAAAACTCTCCTGGGAATTTTTTCCCCAAGTAGATTAAACTTCTGGATCTCTAGTTGTTGACCTCAGGTTCAAACATTCTCCATGCTTGCAATTTCCCTCACACAAAGCCAGCAATCATTTGAAAATCTTTGCACGTTGACTGGATTTCCACTTACCATACCGTCGGCTTGTCCGCCATGCTCGTACGGCATAATGGAGCAATCCGTCCATCCACACAAGAAACCAGCTTATACAGAATCCCAACAAGAGTCCCAGCATCAGATCAATTTCTTGCTTGGTGACGTTGTCAGTCACAAAGTAGTTCTCGGAAGAATCAACCACCGACTGGTCTCCATCGTACGGGATGACATAATGAATGTGATGCCTGGGTGGTAGAATTAAGAAGAGACAAGTGGATATGAGGGAAGAAGAGAGCATCATGGTTATATGATCAAGAGAAGCATTTGGTTTGCCGTCTTTGGCAAATATATTTCTGGGTAATAAAGAACAGAATAGAATAGAATAGAATAGAATAGAATAGAATAGAATAGAATAGAATAGAATAGAATAGAATAGAATAGAATAGAATAGAAGCTGGAAGGCACCTTGGAGGTCTTCTAGTCCAACCCCCTGCTTAGGCAGAAAACCCTATACCAGTGTTTCCCAATTTTGGCCATGTGAAGATGTGTGGACTTCAATTCCCAGAATTCCCCAGCCAGCCAGCACAGCTGGGGAATTTGTGGGAGTTGAAGTCCACACATCTTCAAGAGATCAAGATTGGGAAACACTGCCCTATACCATTTCAGACAAATGGTTGTCCAATCTTTTCTTTAAAACTTCCAGTGTTGGAGCATGGCTTCCAGTATTCCCCTAACTGGAAACCAATATGGAACTACAGCAAACTGAGGATGGACACCACCATTGGAGGCATCCACTTGGTTGAGGTTCTCCTTAATCAGGAGAAAATCCTGCTTTGACCTTGACATAGCTATGGGCTAAACCTTTGGTTCAGGTGATCGTCTCAAGTAAGTTCATACCAATTAATACATTATTCCAGAAGAATCATAAGATTCTTTGATCTGATGACTACTTAGCCATTGGTGTTCAAGGGGCGTGCTTGGCAATGCAGAACATCCTATGGTCCATCCTGTTTCTCTCCTTTGCAAATTTTGGAATTACAGTTCCAAAATTCCCATGCAGCTTGCGACTTGGGAATTGAAGCAAGTCGAGCTTGTAAATTTAGAAGATGCAAAGTTGCATTTAAAAAAAAAAAGTTTGCATTGATATTTCACTGGCAGACCAGCCCACCTTCAATTCCCAGTTTCTCTGGAAAGGACAAACTGAATTTATGTTTTCAGCCAGGAAGACCGGAGTTTAAAAAAGGCAAGAAAACAAAAACAGATGGATTGCCCCCTCACAATCAAAGTAACACAAACTGACAATCCAAGAGAGAGAAAAGAAGAATGGCCTTAAATTTAGTCTCTAACTATTCAGACTTGGTCAAATAAAGCTGCCCTTTCTTGCCACTGTGGTACGTACTTCAGTCACCTGTCACCATCGGATCCTCCCTTTCCCAATTTTCAGCAAATGACAGTATTTTAGGACAGCGTGAAACACATCCTGCTAATCTTAGCAATTTCAGGGCGGTCTGCAGGATTCAAACCGTCTTAACGTTCATTCATTTGCAAATGGCAACGAATCCTCTTAGCTCTGTTATTCTAGCAAAGGGACCTATATATAAATATAGAAAAAAAATCAAGAACTGATGCACACCTCACGACAGGCCAATGTTCCTTTAGAAAAGAGCTTTACTCTCTTTTGACAGGCATCCTATTTGCTACTAGAACAGGACCTACAAGATTTCAGTCGACAGAATGTATGTGTCCCTGGGGAAAAGACTGCTCACCCCAACACTGGAGTATTTCAATTTCCAGGGACGACAGAGAATGAGATGGCTGGATGGAGTCACTGAAGCAGTAGGTGTGAATTTAAATGGACTCCAGAAGATGGTAGAGGACAGGAAGACCTGGAGGAACGTTGTCCATGGGGTCGCGATGGGTCGGACACGACTTCGCAATTAACAACAACAACACCTTTTCAGCTCACAACAACCCTTGGACAGCCAAGGGACAGACCAAGACCAAACTTGGAATCGGCGTTTTTGTTACCACGAGCCGTTCATTTGATCTGTCCTTTAGGGAATTAGGAAGTAAATAAGTGATTTTAGCCTTGACTGTGGAAAAAAGGATTAAAAAAACAATAGTTGCTGGAACTGCTAGCCATCAATGCATCCAAATACTAAAGGGTCCTTTTAGGTCACGTTTTCCCAATCTTGGCAGCGTTAAGATGAATGGACTTCAACTCTCCGAATTCCCCAGCCACCCTTGTTGATGTTTGAGAGCCTACATCTGCAAGGACAGTCTACCTTGCCGCAGGTAGCAGCCTCTGAGCAAACTGGCATGGTTTGGTCCCCCTGCTTAAGCAGAAATTGTTTGCTTGGAAACAAACGCAAAGTGGTTTCCTCATACAAACATCACCATCTGGGTTAGAAAGCCCCTTAGCCTGCCTGCTTGGTTTGTTTCTGCAGTTGTGGGATAAACTGGCCACTGTTTTGTCTCACCAAGAAACACAAGGCCCCAGCTGACCTGTGGCCCACAAAGCCATTCAGGGAGCAGCTGAATGCTAGCTGAGCAAAACGTCCCGCTTTCCCAGTATCCTCACAAAGTGATCTACTGACCAGGTCAGTTGCCAACCTACCTTTAGAAATAAAACTTGTTTCCTAGCCTCTGTTGGGGTTTCCAAGTGGACTAGAAGCCGGTAGCCGAGACGGAGGAAGTGTTCTGCTGGGTCAGGTAGATTTTTCTCTATCCTCCCTTTTCTACTGGGGCTCTCGGGGAGAAAACTTTCAAGCCAGGGCGACAAGGACAACAGTCCTTCCTGCCCGCTTCCGGATTCCCTGCTACAAGGTAGACTGCCCTTACAGATGTAGGCTCTCAAACGTCAACAGCCTAGTCTTCCCTACGCCTTGCTTTTGCTCAGAGCTCTTTTGAACGCCATCCAAAGTGCTGTTGTGGTATGCAAACATTCGACACCATTGGCTGACGTTTGCCACTAAAAACATCCATGCAATCAGCCAAAATCCCTTCCTTCCTTCCTTCCTTCCTTCCTTCCTTCCTTCCTTCCTTCCTTCCTTCCTTCCTTCCTTCCTTCCTTCCTTCCTTTATAACTCTGACCTTCCTTGCAGGCCCGTCGTACAATCGAAAGCCCAACAAATGCACCAGCAAAGAACCTTCACATTCAAACTCAACCGCTTGTACTTCACATCGGAGAGAGGGCTAAAAGTGGCATGCCCTCCCCTCCTCTCCCCTCCCCGAAGTTGCCCCTTGTCCCACCCCCACTCGCAAGACACAAACGGGCTAAATGTAGGGCTTACCTTCCACAGTTGCAATGACAGACCCTATCTTCTCCTCTTAGATGCGGTAAGATATAGTTATGAAATCGGTCAAGAAGAGCATTCATGTCCATTAAACATGCTATTGCCTGAAAGAGGCCAAAAACATGTGATCAGGTCTTGGGAATTTTTTTTTTTTTTTTTTTTTAAAAAGACACCCCACACTGACCCACCTTTAGAGGAACGCCGGAAGGAGAAACTACCCTGAAAGTGATGCCTTTTCTCTCTCCCCCCCCACCCCCCCCCCAGCTAATACAAGCATCAGTGTCTCTTTCAATTGGTCACCTCTTAACGATACCTGTAGAGGTTACGAGCATCCCTGAAACGGGGAACACAACCCGTCATGCGTGCATTGACCATTCTCCACCAGGGACTTGGGGAAGGGAAGTGGGGGGGGGGAAGGCAAGATCAGAGAGGAAGAGGGGGGAATCGAACACCTCCCCCCCCAGGAAAAAAAAAACTGGAGGGGAAAGGAAAAAAAAAAAAAGGAAAAGCATCCTTACCATCACAAGCGAAGCCCCCAGGATCAGAAATATCATGGTGTTCGTATTCATGGACCTGGCGGGGAAGCTGACAGCCCCTCTGTCACTTTCCTGCAGGCCGCCCCCCCCCAGCCGGTTTCCCCACAGGAAAAAGGAGAGAAAGGGGGGCCAGCTTTGCGCGCAGAGGTCAGAGATGGCTGCATAGAAGCTCTTCAACCTGAACTGCAATTCTGGCAGGGGGGGGAACCTCCTCGCCCCCCCTCCCTCCTGCAAAGCATAACAAAACGCAGGCTGCTTCTGCACCCCCCCCCCCCTTTCCCTTCCCTTCCCTTCCCTACCACCCCAGCTGGGTCTTGCTTTTTTTCCTTCCTCCTCCACTGAACTTGCTTCCTCGGGCTTAGGGCAACCTCTCTCCCTTTGGCCCGGCCAGAGGGAGCATGTTGGCCGGCTTAGGCAGGTGCCCGGGGGTAGCCAGGTGATGCGCCGAGCCGAACGCGGACGGCAGGTTGAGCATCTCTCCTGGCTGCTGCATCGTCCGGGGGAGAGCAGCGCCGCCGCCGCCGCCGCGTCAGGGCGAGGAGCCGAGCCAGGCCAGCTTCCCAACAAGCCACCCAAGCCCGAGCAGGTAGGGAAGCGGCCCCCACGGCATCGCTTCCCGCTTCACCCGGTCCCCCAAAATGAAATTCTTCTCTTTCCAAACAGGGGAAGCGATTGGTGCAAAGCAGGTGGTGTGTCCTGGAGGTGGGGGGGGGGGCTGAGAGAGAATAAATACTTCCCCTCCCCTTTCGTCTCTCTCTCTCTCTCTCTCTCTCTCTCTCTCTCTCTCTCTCCTTCCTCCCCTCCTTTTCGGGGGGGGGGAGGCAAAAATGAGAGCATCAGCCTGAGAAAATGCAGAAGGGACGGGCTGACATCATAAGCCACTCTTAGGCGAAGCCCCTTCCTTTCCTTTCCTCAAAAGAGATTGCAAAAGCCCGGAGTTTGGGGAGGGGGGGAGAGCGGGGAACACTCCCCCCCAAAAAAAAACACCCACGTAGGGGAGCAGCCTTTGCTGTTTTCCTGGCTTCTTAAATGGTGGGGGGGGTCTTCCAGAAGGACGTGTGTGTATGTATGTGTGTGTGGGGGGGGGGGGTTGATAGAAGAAGCAATCCCCAAAACCTAATCTGGAGATGGATTTGGAGGGGGTGCCACCCCTCCATTTCCAGGGGGAGGTTATGAAATCTTGGCCATCCACCTTGGGCATTATGCAGGCAAAGAGGAGTGCGAGCGAGCGTTTCTCTCTCTCTGTGCGTGTGTGTGAGGATGTTAATAATAATAATGATAAGGAGGAGAATATAAAAAGGAATGGATAGCTTTCTCCCCCCCCCTCAAATCAAGCCATACACCATACAGAGAGGCAAGCATCTTTAAGGGTCAGTACCGAAGCTTTTCTTAACACCCCCCCCCCTTTCAGAACCGGGTTGTTTCCTCCCTCCCCACCTTCATCATCCTCCCTACATATTGTATCTCTCCCCCCCCCAAACACACACACACACTTCAGCCCCACCCAGTCCAGCATTTTTTAAATAATGGGACATCCGTGAACCACCCCCATCGAAAAAATAAATAAATAAAAGAGCTTTAAGGGAGCTTTGACAAACGGGCTCCTTTTCACCCCCTCCCATTCCTTCACCCACCCACCCCCATCCAAGAAACCAAGTGTTTTTTTTTTTACCTATTTGTAGTGGCGTTGATGCTCCATCTTAAAAAGGTCCTTGCAGGGAAGTGGGGGGCGCGACGCCGCTGCGTATCTTTTCTGTGTTTACAATCTGGACTCCTTTCCTTACTCTCTGCCCCTCTTCCCCCCCCCAAAAAAAGCTGCACACACCCCCTTTTCCTATCTCCTTTAATCAAAATGGTGTTTGATCAAAATGGGGGGGGAGAGGGGGAGAGAAGGGGAATCTCTCGCTCTCTTTCTGCTCCTCTTCCCAGCGGCTGATCTTAGTACCAAAATCCGTTGCCTCCCACCTTGCTTTGGAAGTCCCTTCTCTTTGCCCCCCCCCCCCCAAGAAGAAAAATCCACCTTTTAGGTAACACTTCTCAGAATAAATTGCATTTGTGTGCAATTTACTCTACCCCCTCAAAAGTGAGGTTAATTTTAAGGGGGGGGGGAAATAACACAGAAACACACAAATACAATATAAAAGGAAATGTGGGGGGGTCAGAATTGGAGGGGTGCACCTCTTTGGTCTCCGCCTCCAGCAGTTTCCCAGGAGGAGACCTCCAGTCCTAAGTTAAGAGTTCGGAAGCATCAAGTTGCAAAAAAAATAAAAATAAAAAAAAATGCCTGCCTTCTCCAGGGCACCATCATGTCGCTTGGCTCCAGCCACTCCAAAGCTTTGGGTTGAGCCTAGCAGAACTCATGCGTGCTTCGGCCCTTGTCCTGGTCAGTCTTCAAAGTGATTCGGCTTAGCTTGATCAGTCTTGGGCTGCAGCACGGCTAATTCCGAGCTGACATGGAGGAGTCTTTTCCCTCCTTCATCCAGGCACTGAAGAGAATGCAACAGGTCGCCATACACATATACCAAGCGCCATACACATATACCAAGCGTCCCTGCTCCTAAATGCTAACCCCGTTTCAGACTCAGCACTTTAAGTCTGTTTGAACAGGTGCCCTTGGTGGCTTGCGAACTGGGTTTAAATAAGCCAGAGGTTTCTCAAAAATCAAGGAGAACTCATTTGGGAAGCATGTTAATTTTACCTTGGGTCTTCCTTGGAATGTACAAGGATTTTTTTAATTTTTATTTATTTATTTTTTTTGTGAGAGAGAAGAGACAAGGAGATGCCGTTTTCCTTGAAAACAAGAGTAGAACTTCTGAGAAGTAGCCATCAGATGTGGATATTTTATCCACGCTCTCCAAGTCTACCCATTGTCCAATGGTGGAACAAGACCACTAGCACTAGCACTGATGATATTTCCTAGTTGGGTAATGAAACGTCTGCAAGAAAACCACCAAGTTCAGGGAGCACCAAGGACCCCCAGGGTGGAAAAAGGCTTTAAAAGTTAAAGGGAGAAATAGCTATACTAGTCTCCCTTTAATTCTCTGTCGGTAAATTTAAATTTAACACACATTTCTCTGAGGATCACGTAGGCTTCCACAGGCCAGGTCTTCTCATTCCATGAGCGCTTAAGATTTGAACCAATTACCTACCTACAATTGTCTGCTCTGCTGATTCTCCTGATGTATTTTTGGAGCTGGTCATACATAATCAATCCAACATTTAATTAACCCAAACTGATCTCCAAAACCAAGCAGAGTTGGTATATACTGGAATAAGAGACTACCAGGTCAAATAAGATACAGCTCTCTCTCTCATTCTATCTATCTATCTATCTATCTATCTATCTATCTATCTATCTATCTATCTATCTATCTATCTATCTATCTATCTATCTATCTATTTATCCATCCATCCATCCATCCATCCATCCATCCATCCATCCATCCATCCATCCATCCATCCATCCATCCATGGCATGGAAGAGAGTTGGGCGATGCTGGGCCCATCGTTCTCTCTCTTAGCCCCAGACTAAATAGTCAGAAAATATTATCTGCCAAGCCATGAGAGGTAACAGCCCATAATCTTCAATTAAGAAACCTTCATCTTGCATAGATAGATTCGTAGTAAGAGTAATTTTTACAAACACCATGAAAGAAAACAATGGAAACCATGTATGCACTGAAGCCGAGAGAAGCACATAGATGTAATCCCGAAATCGTCACAAGTCGTTCTTCACTTACAACCATTTGTTTAGTGGACTTAACAACAGCACTGGGAAAAAAAAAAAAAAAACCCAGACCGGTTCGCACACTTACAACCTTTTCACCCTCCCCGTGATCAAAACGTGTGCATTTGGCAACTGGCATGTGTTTGCGACGGCCGCACTTGTTGTGGCGGGGTCTTGTGATCGTCATTTGTAATCTTCCTGGATGGCTTCCGACAAGCGAAATCAATGGGGGAGGCTTAAGGACCGCACACTTCACTTAATAACTGAAGCAACTCGCTTAACAACCGTGACACAATAACGTCATGAGCTCACTTAACGTCTTGCTTAGCCACAGGAAATTGGGCTCGACGGTGGCCATACCTGCCGTGGGGCCTAACCCTTGTGCGAAGGCGAGATTCTCCCACGCAGGCGGCCGGAGAAACGACAGTAGAGGTGATTTGTATTTATTACAGGGTTCCAATTTCATTGCTACTATTATACAGATATGCGCTGCTCCAGTCAAATCTTTCTATATTCCAGCTGTTCTGTTTGTCCGTTCCCCCCCCCCCCGGCAATAAAACGACCAACCGAAATAATGTAAGATTTTATACTGGCACATATAAATGATATCTTTAGAGAAGCATTCAGTTTATAATTAAAACCCTACTTATAACCATTCAAGTAAGGTAGCCAGAGCGGGAGGGGAAAGGGGCAGAGGAGAGGGGGATTAAAACAAATCTTGGTGTTTTAGTCTCTTAAATAAAGCAGCCTCAAAGGAAGAGAAGTTCTTTTTTTCCATTTTTCTCGGCAGAGTTCATTTGAATCCCTGTATAGAAACCAACTCCCTTGAACTGCAAATAATAATAATATTAATAAAATAAAATTAAAAAAAAAAATACAGTGGGCCAAAGGAAATTTAAAAAAAAAAAGCAACAAGGAAGTGAATTGGGTTGGATGTTCGCTCTCCAAAAGGAGAGAAAAAAAATGTCCCGTTGGATCAAAACTAAACATGCCTCGTTTGTCTGCAGTAAGGCCTGGAGGAGATGGGTCGGTCTGTCTGAACTGGTTTCAATAAAAGCAGACTGTGTGCAGAAAAGTCCTACCACTTTTCTCTTCAAATTCTTGTAATAGCTCATCTATCTCATTTTCCATGTCTTCCGTGTGCTGTATCTGCAGAAAGGAGTGGGGGGGGGGAACATACAAAGTAAAGATATTTAATTTGCTTTAAACTAGAGAATAAACGTTTTCTTCAACTTCCCCCCCTCCAAAATATACACAGAGAGTAACTTCCCCTTTTATTAAGATAAAGGTTCTAATTCAACAACAAATCATAAAATGCCAGCAGGACACAACCCTGCCGTATGCTTTTTCCAAATTCCCCCCCCACCCTCAGAGAAATAGTTACTATTCTTTATCATTCTTGATCATAACTGGATGGTGTCCAGAAGATCCCGCCCCTCCACATGTGAGCCTAGAATTTTTTCTTTTTTTTTGGCCCTCAAAGCTATCTGAATCCTCTGTTTTTAACGTCTCTCCATGAGGACTAGCAAGTTGCTTAAAAAAGGAAAAAAAACAAACGAAAAAAGTAAATCTCAGCCAAATAACAATAAGCAAAAAAATATACTCCTTTTCCCAAAATGATTGAAACTGTTCTCCTTTTGCTCTATGCCTTTCTTTCTTTCTTTCTTTCTTCTAGATAATTCATTCAAATGTTACTGGGGAGGGGGAGGACTTTTTTGTGTTGTTTTTTTTTTAAAGTATGAATGGTGTTTTGGGACTCAAAGCTT